GATGTACAAATGTGCTTTACACAATTGATGTGTGTATGGATTGGGATAACAGTTGTATGAGCCCCTAATAAAATGTTAAAAAAAAAAAGAAATGATCCCTAGGTATGGACTGCCACCAGATATTGGATCAGATAATGGTCCTAGCTTGGTGGCTCAGATTTCCCAGGGGATGACCCAAGCCCTAGGAATAAAATGGAAATTGCATTGTTCTTACAGACCTCAGAGCTCCTCAGACCTCAGATTGAAAAAATGAATAGGACTTTAATGACTACCTTAACAAAGCTTATCTTAGGTACTGGGAAAAGTGGCCTGACCTGTTGCCATTACTCTTTGTGGGCAAGATGCACCCCCTACCAGGAGAGTTTCACTCCCTGTGAAATAATGTTTGGGAGATCTCCGCCTCTTTTACCCTGGGTACAGGACCAAACCTGGCAAAAACCAGAATCATTCACTTATAAAGTCTTTGCAGTCTCTCCAACAGGTCCAGCAAGCCATCCAGACCTGCCACTGTGAGCATTTCCTGTCTTCCTCTCTTTCTGTGTTCACAACTTTTGCCTGGGGGCAACGCGTATTAAGAAGTAAAAGTAACTAAAAGAAAGAATTAGAGTTAGGAAAATTGCCCTGGAATCCCCAATGGGATGGAGAATTTGTAGCTCCATATTTCCCTGGCTCCTCCCTTTGTCATGATCTCTATTAGTTATACTAGCTATAGGCACCCTGGGCCCGTGGGTCTTCCCAACCTTGGTACGAAGGTGCCCTAGTCCGAAAAACAGCAGCCAAAGTTTGGCCACGCAGTCATACCATTACCTGAGAGTACATACAGGACTGGGACGATCAAGGGGGTAGTTCAGGGCAGTCCTAAAATGTTCCCCCTCACTCTTTTTTCCTTTAAAAAATGCCCCCACCCTTAAATCAATGATTTGATTCCCTGAAAGAAAAACGGAGTATTGAAATACCTCCGTGCTTAATAATTAACCAGCTGAACTTAGCTTCTGTAATTATTGCTTACGCTCGATTGAATGGGACTCTGGTCACAGCGGCCAGTTTTGAAATTAACAACGGCTACCTCACCCTGACGACTGCAAATTTGGAAATCCCCCCGCACCTTCCCACCTTGAGTGAGCGAATGGGTCAGTGCCCCTGCTTATGGCCTTATGCATTATAAGCGGAGAGGAATGCTGGGCTCAAGACAGGGAGACTTAAGCGCTCACTGACTCTGGGCGCCGGCTTTGAAAAAAGCTTCTCCATCTGATGTATTCGGCGTGGCTTCGACCCTCTCAGAAACCAGGTAGAACAGTCTGCGTGTATATCCTGCTTAAGGCGCACGAAAGGGGTGTCTATAGAACATGTTAGGAGTGCTGGTGGCACGGTGGGCTAAGCGTTGGGTGGCCAATCAAAAGGCTGGAGTTTCCACCCCCGCCCGCCAGGCGTTTTGGAGACGTCTAACTCTGTACAGATTAACAATCTCGGCAATCTTAGTTTTGCTCTAATTTGGAAATCAACTCTGCTTTAGTGTTTTTAGCTTTAGTATAAAATATGTTAGACTTTGGGGTCCTTTTCTCGCCAAAGCCAAGCGTAAGTGAACCGCACCTGACGCCAGGGCACTCAGCTGGGCTCCGACAGTGAAAGCAGCGTCGGCAGCCATCTTTCCGGCCGGCGCACTGGGCGGACACACGTCACCGGAAGCGCCTCTGACGTCATCAGGCGCGCGCCGAAGGTCGTGTGCGTGAGCTATAGCGCAGGCTGCTCTTGTGCGTATTCCCTTAAGGTAGACAGGCCGGGTGGAGAATTCATTTGGGAACCAGGACCAGTTTGGTGAGAGCGGTATTTGAAGAAAAGCGACAGGCTCCTGAGCGGCTATTTTAACCGCTTGCTTCAGAAGGAGCTCTTGAGCCGACCAATGGGAGCCGCCGGCGAGGGGATTCTGGGGACTGTAGTTCCCGAGTCGGTCCGTGGCTGGTTACCGGACGGAGCCCGGAGGCGCTTAGTGGTTGTCATTGCGCGGTGAGAGGGCCGGCCGGGCAGCTTGGCTGGGGAGTGGCGGGGTGCGGCTGCGCGATGGGTTCAGTGACCAAGTTCCAGGTATTTATTCTTGAAGGTGGCGCAACTCTAGACGCATTTGGGGCCGAGGATATTGGCAACGACGAAACCTTGAATCGTTGAGTCGCTTGGCGCTTCGCGGACCTTCAGTCTCTGGTTGGAGCTGGTGAGAGGGATGTGGAGGTGCGGATTAATTAATCTGGGTCAGACAATTCCAGAATCCAGAGGGACCCGGGGTCATCTGAGCTGTGGGTCTGAGTTCAGCCCAAAACAAAAGACTCACTTCCATCTGGTCGATTTCGAATCGTCTATAGGGTTTCCGCGGTTGTAAATCTCTGCGGGTGCAGGGGAGCGGCAGGTGGGCTTCGGTCAACAACTTTGTGGGTAGCAGCTTACCCGCCCGCACCGTCCGAGTTTGTTTGCCCCTCTGTTGTTGAGGGTATGGATCGGGCAGTAAAACCCCGGCCTCAATGGTGTGCAGGACTTAGTTTGTCCAGTTTGACAACGTCCGTGTCAAGGTGGGAATCCAGGACTTTTGGTTCATGTCAACTTTCTTGGCCTTTGGTAGGCGATAGAGACAAACCAGGTGGTAGTTGAGGGGTGGGGATGGTGCACTGAAGGTGTGCCATGGTCGGTTGCAGGGATGGGGGGGTGCATCACTGGAGATGAAATTGACATTGGCCTAATAAATTTACGGGCATTTTGGTGGTGAACAGCACGGCAGAGCCTGTATCTAGGTGTGTTTTTCTGAATGGTTGTCACACTCAGGAGAGGTTCTGCCTGTATGGCATCTGCTGTCCCAGTGTTTGTTGGGTGGCAGTGACCTCTATTTTGTAACTTAGACTCTTCGTTTAGTTGTCGTGTAGGAAACCATTTGACTACTTCTGTTTTGGGGGTTAGGGCACCGTTAGCTGGGCGGCCACCTCTGTTGGACTATTGGTCAACTCTCCAGATCACTTCAAACATCTCTGGTAGAGTCTAGGTGTCAGAATTTTTAATTTTCTTTTTAAATTATTTTATCGGGGGCTTCTTATTTTATTTTTAAAATTAAGGACAGATTTAAAATCTCAGAATAGTACAGTGAAGCCCATGGAAGTCCACCAGAATCAGCATTTAATTCATGGGCAAGCCTGTTTCATCTTCATGTCTCAACTTTAGGTGAGGATATGAGGCTGTTCCTTATCATTGTTCACAATACTAAGTAATGGCCCAGTAGTGGAAAGAAAACATGAAAAGCTAGCAAAACAGCTCACCTATAAAAAAAAAATCAGGATATTTTCATGTGCTTAAATGAATATCTTTGACACATATTCAAAATTAAAAGAAAAGTATATTATTTTATACCAAAAGCACAGATTTCGGATGTAAACTTTCCCATTCATTCTACACACAAGAAACTAGAGCAGATTCGGGTTAACCAAAGCAGTTTTCTGAATGAGCTCCCCAGTAATCCAAGTAACAGGCTTAAAGACGAGATATTAAGAAACAAAAAGTTTTGTTAAGCTGTGTAATAAGTGTCCCAGTGATGGTCCTGTTCCTGATTCTGGAGCCCTACCTGTACCTGTGATATTATTAATCTGCCACCAATCGTGAATGTGTGAGTTTCCTTGGTTCCAAGATTTATTTAACTAGTGTTCTGATTGTGACTCCTAGGTCACCATTTTGGTCTCATGCTAAGATTTAATGAATGTTCTTTAACAATATTTGAGATTGGGTTTGCTTTTGTACCCTAAAACACATCACAAGCTAAGAACACATCCTTTGTTGCCATCACACACACACCCTCAAATGTAAATGTTCACTTGGCATTCTGTGGATATGTATAATTTCCTTGTTCAAGAAAACCCCTCACTGCCATCAAATTAATTCTGACTTTGAGTGACCTTTTAGGACAGAGTAGAATTGATGCTGTGGTTTTTCTTCGTGGGAGTAGAAAGTCTTGTCTTTCTCTCTTGAAGCTGCTGGTGGTTTTGAACTGCTGACTTTATGATTAGGAGCCAAACATGTAACCCCTACACCACCAGAACTTGATGTTTGGGAACTGGACCAGAGTATCTCATCCTTCCCAAGTCCTTTTCTGCTTGCTGCTGTTAGGTGCTGTTCTGACTCCTAGACACCCTTACGTACAACAGAAAGAAACACTGCCTGGTCCTGGGCCATCCTCACACTTGTTCAGAAACTTGAATCGATTGTTGTAGCCACTGTGTCTATCCATCTGGCTGAAGGTCTTCTTTTTTGATGCCCTCTACTTTACCATGTATGATGCACTTGTCTGAATACTCCTGGGAAGAGGTGCCACTTACCTTCCTCAGCTCCGTGTCTTCATTGGCACAGAAGCCGCACCAGGCAGGAGAATAATCAGCAACAGGTACTCTTTGAGAATTGTCACACCCCAGAGGGGTCAGTTGCTATTGACATTATTAAGTGGTACTTACCCTCAGCACTTAAATACTGTGTCTTAAGAAAGATACAACTTCTTTGTGCCTCAATTTAAGACTTAAATCAGGGGACTCTTGGGAAGTGAACTTGTAGAATGTCTGGAATTGTTTCTCATATGTACTGTATTAGAGCTTTAATTCTGAGCACCCTGGTTTGCAGAAGGCTATAGATGGCAGTGATAGTGCAAAATCCATTTGCAGGGTCCCCAAATAGGTGAAGCCTTGAATCCTTTCTGTTCATTAATCAGGGATATAGATAATCTTGTAAAGTGCCTTGGAAAGTAGATTACCTCTACCCAGCTCCAGCCAGGCATTCTCTCTCTTAGGGGCTTGCCTGCTTATGTATGATGGAGATCACTATACTGGGGACAATCCAGGGGGTTACATAGTCATGAGTCATGCCCTATCGGTCTTCTCTTGATTGCCTTGGTCAGAGGGCCCTGGACCAATCTTGTAAGCCCTTCTAACAGTGTATGTGCCCCTGATTCTGTAGCCCCAATTGTAACTATTTTTTTTATTTGCCCCCAATCATAAATTTGTGACAGTTCTCTTTGTTCCATGCCCTATTTATCTAGCTTCTCTATTGTGAATCCTCTCCTGTCACTCTGGCCTCGTCCTAATGGTCTCCATCATCCACATGATGTGTCTGTGCCTTTGTGTCACCTTTGTCTATTTTAAGACAATACATGTTTTTCTTAAATTATATTTGAGGTTGGGGGGTCTCTTTTGTACCCTAAAACAAATGGTGTGGGTGGAAAACAGGAATCGAAAGCTCTCTTTGCTGGTGCAATCTCTGGAAGGTCTAGGAAACATGGTGTCAGAAACATCCCGCTCTTCGCATTTCCATGGACCCTCAGATATTCCACACTCGTGGAATTTTGAACCTGTGCTTCGGGGCTTCCAGAAGCTCTATGAAGTTTCATGAAGTCTTGCTGTGTGTTTTCTCTGCTGTGGCTTGTTAGTTCATGCTCTTGGTCCTGCTGGCCTTTAATGCCCAGGTTTTTTGCCACTCAGAAGCTTCTGGAAATTGGCATTCTGCTTCAGCTCTTGCCTGAGGCAATTCCTAATTTTGCAGGGAGTGGGGGGAGTTCTGGGGTTATGTTGTTTTGTTCATGTTGAGGTGAGGGTACAAGAATATATAAAAATATTTTAAAAAAAAACAGTTTATCTACTTTGTTCAGCGTGAGCTGATCCAGGTATGCACATGACTATGGATAAAAAACTCTCTCTTACACACATAGGAGTGTGTCTGGATTTGTTTCCCTAGTCAACCCAAACTAACAGTAACGTTTTGACAAATGTGCGAGCACTGGCCTTTTTTAAAGACCATGTGGTTTGGTAAATAAAATCTATCCTTTTCCCTATAAGCCATACATTCAAAGAGTGATAATAATACACACACACACACACACACACACACACACACACACACACACACACCATCCCATCCCATTAGAGCCTGAGGTTGGATGCAGGTGGAACCTGAGCTTTCTGACTGGACTGACTCTTGTCTCAGAACTTTCTTATGTACAAAGTTAAAAACATTCGTAGCAGAAAGAAAAGGAAATAAAAAGGATACTTGAAGGAGAGGGTAGCTTCCCCCTCCCCCCCCAACCCCCACTTGCCCCTTGGTCTAGTAAACCAAGAACTGCAGCCCCAGGACAAGCTGTTAGGCAGTGACAGGGCCCTTAAGGGTGGGAGCTCTTCAGCCAAACTCCTGGGGTATCCTAGTGGGTGGCTATGTTTGCCTGGGGTGGGCTGGTCCCCACTGTGACCCTGAGCGCAGACTGTATTCTAATATAAACACTTGGTTTTGTGAACCCAAAGCTGCCCACACTCTTCTGTTATATTTTTCACATGAACTGAAATTGTTGTCTCAGTGACGTGGTGGTGTGTCTGTATTTAGCACTGTTTGTTGGTGTGTTGTGGGTGCGGTGAGTCTAACAGAGGATCTGAGTGTGGGCACAGTTCTTTGTATGCTTCTTGAACAGTGCACTCAAGAGGACCTTGGGTTGTGTTGGCTGCCCTGTGGTTGATCAGATAGTACAGGAAAGGCAGCGGCCCTTGTGGGTGGGGCTTTAGGAGGTGTGGGTGTGGCTGAGAAGTGTGGGCATAGTTGCTTTCTGGTGGTTCTGGGCAAGTGGAGTCGTTTTTCATGTTGTCCAGATGGAGCACTGCTTGTGAAGCTTTACGACTACAGTGTGTCAGGCCAACTGATAGTTTACCTTCCCTGTTCATTTCCTTGCCTCAACTTTTCTTCATTTGCTTCTCCTAGTTAGTATTCAATTGCTTCTCTCTCTTTTTCTTTGAAGCACGGAGTTTCGGGATCATCATCCGTATCGTTTTCACTTTTTGTTTTTGTTTTTGTTATAGAGGGTCTTGGTAGTGTGTCAGCCTAGTTGGCCATCTTGCTGGAAGTCAGAAAAACTACAATGTGATGTGATTGAAGTGACATGTCTAATTTGGACAGAAGAGGGACTGAGCAGCTATGTCTACAGTGTTGGGACCTGAATCAGGAGAACTTCTTAAGGGAACTTAGCCTCCCCTAAAGGGGTGCTGGCAATAGTAAGGAGATACTTGGTTGGGCAAACAACTAAGCCCTAGACTACTAGCTGACAGTTGACATGTTAAACCCACCCAGGGGCACCTTGCAAGATAGGCCTGCCGATCAGCTTCCAAAAGGTCAGAACCTTGAAAAGTCTGTGGAGCAGTTCTGCTCGGCACATATCCTGTCACCACGAGTTAGAATGGATGGGCTCATGGAGAGCTAACACTAGCAACCAGGGGGCAGTCGCACTGGAGTCATGGGAGCTGAGATCCTGCCCAAGGTATGTTGAGGGGCTTCTAGGGTTGGCATAGCTTCTGACATCATCTGAATGTACGAGTGGACGACCTTGACAAATAGGGTCATGCAGAATTGGAAGGTGAGGTGTTTTCTTTGCAAAAGTTATTATGAGACCAGGATCATTGGTTTGGGACTGAACTTCTCAGGAACAGGAGCATAGGGAATTGAAGAAAGCCGAAACTTTGGGTGAGGGTAATAGAAACTGAGCGCTGCCTGCCTTGGTTACAGGCAAGACATGAGAGCACTTTCTAGACAGGCTTTTGGCTGTTTTTTTTTTTTTTTTTAACATTTTATTAGGGGCTCATACAACTGTTATCCCAATCCATACA